GGAATACCCCCGTGGGTCCCGCTTCTCAGGACAGACGGGAGCTGTGCTCACACAAGGCTGTGTGGATTCTGGGTCAGCCAGTGCACTTCTCCAGTCTGAGCACACACCATATCACCTCGAGCCCTTTCTCGGCTCTGGGAAGTCAGTCTCACCACTGAGTTGACCGAGGCTTTGAGAGCAAACACTGTCCCACATGACACAGTTGACAGGTGGCAGAATCAGAGGCAGATCTCCAGTCTGGTTCTCTGTTCCTGCAAAGCAGCCATGCTGGCATTAAGGTCACTTGACGACCAAGCACAAAGAAAGCTGGAGGGGCTGGGGGGACCACAGTCCCTGCTATTCAACTTGTGGGATGGTCAGGCCTGACGTCAGGCTCTCTGCATCCCCATAGGGAGACATGAGTCAGGATGACTAGGGACAGGAAAGCATTTGTAGCAGGAAAGCAGTCCAAGACAGAGCCACAGTCACCCTATTGGATTGTTAACGAGTGGTAAGGCTGATGATTCTGTTTGCAGATACAGACCCTGTGCCCAAGTGTCCGGTGGGATGAGTTCTCCTGGCACTGTCTGAACAGCAGACACACCCGATGGCCATTGGAAGCCCTGCCTACCCCACCCTTGGTTTCCTAACCCATGACCCAAAGGGACCCAAGATGCAGCACGTGGTCTGGAAGACAGCAGGAACCCAGAAGGGAGCTTCACACCCCGGCCTTACTGCACATGTAGCCTTGACTTCCTGACCCATGCACCCACTGGGACTCAGACTCGGGTCTTGGCGAAGTGTCCTCTGATTCAGCCCTCTCTTCAGGTGCCCCAGGCAGCTAAGATGCTCTGGCTCCTTTCCTCTTCAGCTCACCCTGCCTGTCCCTGTGTGGACCCTGTTCCCTTCCTGCCTCACTTTGGGTCTTGACCCCACATGTCTGTGATGTGGAAGAACTGTTTCTGCCCTTGCCACCCACAACCCCCTGGTTAAGGGAGACCAGAATCGAGGCTTGGGATCACAGGAAGAAGTACGTCTGAGAAAGGGCCCCCAGCCCCTTTGCATCCGAGTGACTGCTGCTGTGATTTCACCTCTTGGAGCTCCAGTGGCTTTGTCTGTGAAGTAGAGATAAGAGTCCTGCCTATGTCGCAGGGATTAAATAAGACAGTGCTGTAAGGTCCCCAGGGTTGGCGTCTGACCCTGTGAGCCCTCAATGAGTGCTGCCAGTTGTGAATACCCATAACAATGCTATAAGGTCCCCAGGGTTGACATCTGGCCCCATGAGTCCTCAGTGGGGGCGGTCAGTTGCGAACACGGGTAATGATGCTATAATGCTATAAGGTCCCCAGGGTTGGTGTCCGATCAGTGAGTCCTCAGTGAATGTTGTCAGTTGTGAATACCCATAAGGATGCTGTAAGGTCCCCAGCCTTGGCATGGGACCCCTGCAAGTCCTCAGCAAGTGCCGCCAGATGTGAATACAGCAGCCTTCACACAGCCCGTCCCTGCAGGAGTCAGGGCTCTGTGGTAAATGCAGCACCCGGTACTCCGGGCACAAGGAAGTCAGACCCCCGGCTTGACTTCTGAAACACTCATCCTAAGGGACAAACTGGAGAAGGGTGGATGTCCCGGGATCAGCAGGCCTGGCTTCATCTCTTAAGACTCTTCACTCTGTGCTCTTTCCTTCCAGAGCTCATGATGGACCACAGCTGAGAGACCTCATCCAGGGCTCACTTGACCTGCCCGGGCGGCCATTTTTTAAGGCTCTGCCACCCTATGGTCATCTGGAAACTGAGTAGGCTTGGAGGGCACGTCTTCAAAATAGAGTGTGCTTCTGGTCCTTGTCTTGAAACTGACAAGAGATGATTTAGAAAACTGGGTGGAGGTCTCAGGTTAACAGGATCAGAATGCGGGAGGCACAAGGGCCTTGACCCGAGGGACTTGGAGGGAGTCTGCGGAGGTCGGAATGGGCACGAAGAAGGTTGGATATTCTCAGCAACTTTGGAGTCTGCTTTTTGAGCCCGTGTCCTCGTCTGTAGAGAGAAGACATCATCGCTTCTCAGTGTTGTTCTGCAGAGTGAATATTGGCTAGAGGAAGACGCCAGAGGGGTTGGTGAGGTCGTCCCATCCTGCCCTGGGTACACGGCTTGCTCACGACTGGAGCACTCCACCCCAGAGTCTGGTTCATGGAGTGGATTCTCCTGGCCCTTCACAGGCACTGAGTCCACAGGGAGAGGAAAGGAGAGTCAAGAAGCCTCCAGATCAAGAGCCTCGGGAGGGCCTGGGGGAGCCTGACACTCCAGCTGGCTGTTCAGGGGAGATGGGTCCTGGGTGCTACTGCCCACAAGGCACCAAGGCCAGCAGGGAGAGAAGAGCCATGTCAGTCACCGCGTTCCCTGAGAAGTTAAATCAGAACGTCCAAAGCCCACTTCAGTTTCACCCAGCACGAGCAGTAGTGTTACTGCCATTTCTATTAAGGCCAGAGAGTGCAGCACTGACAGCTAAAAGCAGGCTCCCCACAGCAAGAACCTCAAAAGGAACCCACCTGCTGATGGGCGTCTGCAGAGCCTGTCTGGCTGCCGGGGTTCGGCCATTCACAGCCAACTGTCAGGCTCTCTGAATTCCTTGACCCCGGGCTGGATGCACTGGGTGTTGCTGGACTGTGACCCTGCTGTGTGTTGTCATGTGCACACAGTGGACTCGTGTGTTGGGCAGTGTCTGGGTGGGCATGCCACGCCTCTGTCATAAATAGAAACAGGACATCTCTAATTGGGGCAGAAAGTCAAGATGGAGGATGTTCACTGATGTGGACGCTTGGGGAGAGGCATCAACAGTTGTCACTGTGGGATGAGGTGGCTGGTGGCTTCCTCCTCTTCTGATGTAACCATCTGCCCTTGAGGATGAGCCTTTGTGACCCTCCCTTTGTGACCCTCTTGTGGCTGCGCCTGTCCTCATAGGGCCGCTTTGTGGGTGCAAGGCACAAAACATGGGCCCAGTTTCCCCCTGTGGTCTGCTGTGAAGTCCAGGTGCCTTCCTTCCAGCACATCTTGAAAATGAAGGCAGCCTGCGATTCCTCGACACCGGCCCCAGAGGCAGGTGGAAGTCGTCAAGGCTGTAAACACGTGGCCAGCAGGGCTAGGCAGCTCCAGCAAGACGGGACTGCCCATTTCGCCATTAGAAAGGTACATGGTCTGAATAGTGAGAAGCTACCTGGTATTAACCTCAGGATCAGAAGAACAGTGGGTTCTGAGAAACAGCTGGGGGCCAGGAGTGGCCACAGGCCAAGAAGCAGAAGGGCACTTAAGGGACGTGTCATTGGGGGTCTCGTTCTTCTCCCCTAAACTTAGACCGTTTGGCTGGTGTTGATGGGAATGGCTTGGTTTGACTCTGGGCAGGGCTAGTGCCCGTGGTGAACGCCCAATAAAAGACAGTCCAGTGATCGACACCTGCTCAAGAATCTGCCTGCTGCCTCCTAAAACTCCCATCCCCAGACTTGCCTTGGAGATAGAGGCAGTCGTGGTCCCAGAAGCAGCAGTTAAAATGCACAAATGCTAAGTGGGACTCAGCACCCATGCACACTGCTGCAAAGATTGACTTTTCAAATTAGAGCCCTTCTGAGAGCAAGGGCTTTGGAATCTTAAAAAAGCCAAATCAAGAAGGAACTTCAGAAAACATCCGCTCTTGTCTTTAGCTTTGAGGAACTTGAGGCCCAGAGCAGTTAAGTGACTTATTCAAAGTCACCAGCAAATTAGGGGTGGAGCTGGAACAGGAACACAGGTTTACCAGGTGCTTGTTTCTGGAATCATCTAGTCTGTAAACCCTTTCTTTTATGGATAAAGAAACTGTCCACAAATGAGAAGCAGCGGCCAGGCCTGGTCCCGAACCGAGTTCCCCAAGTTCTCCATCCAGTGTCTACCACGTGGTCTCTTGTCTTATGTCTCCGGGCTGAGCGGGGTGAAGTGAGAAGCAGCCATGGGGATGAAGAGGGAGGAAGTAGGGGAGTGCCTGTGTTTCCGGAGAGTGGGGCAAACGTGGAGTGCTGGGACACAGGAGACACCTGAGAAGCCCTCACAGAGGTCACAGATGCCCCGGGCTTGGCCTCCTCTCTCCCTACCCAGGGACCTCCCTGCCCCCTCCCCATGGGAGAAGAAAGAGATCTGTTAACCATCACACCGGTGGGTCCTCCTCTCTGGAGAGAGGTGGACAGGGAGATTTCAGGACGGGCAAGCAGGCGTAGGAGCAAGCCTTGGCTTGACTCTGGCCTTTCCCCTCTCTGTTGCCGGATGAAGCCTAACGGGGGTCTTCTTGAGCCCCGACTCTGGGCTAGGCTCACTGCTCATTCACCCATTCCGTTTGAGAGGTAACCATCACTCCCAAGGCACAGGTGGGCAAATTCAAGTCCGAGAGGTTCACGTTCTGGCCTGGAGTCATCCAACTGGTCAATGCCAGAGCTGCTTGGGTTCAGCCCTCTGGGGTGGCCCAGAGTGGCTCTGCCCACCTGCCCTCAAGCCCCTGGTGTCTCCAGGTGACCTCAGAGAAGGTTGGGAGATGCCCCATTACTCACCATCCAGCCTGTGAGCTCCTTTGCCCAGCTTCTCTGAGGACCTCTCCCATCATGTGGGTTACAGAATGGACACACTTTATTCTCCCAGGCCCCCTTTCTTTTTTTTTTGAGTTGGAGTCTCACTCGGTCACCCAGACAGGAGTGCAGTGGCCGCTCCCAGCCACCGCAGCCTCGACCTGCTGGGCTCCGGTGATCCTTCCGCCTCAGCCTTCCAAGTAGCTGGAACTACAGGTGCGCGCTACCACGCCCGGCTAATTTTTTTTTTTTTAATTTTATGGTAGAGATGAGGTCTCGCCTGCCCAGGCGGGTCTCGACCCTAGCCACCTGCAGAGCTGACACCTGCCTCCCTGCTGGGGAAAGTTGTAGAGAGAGGAAGGCCAGACTCCCAGCGTGGAGGCGTGGTGGCTGGAAGGTTGCTTGGGAAACAGATGGTTCCACTGACCCTTGGCTGCCATTGCAGGTCTGGAGTGCAGCTTCGACTTCCCCTGTGAGCTGGAATATTCGCCACCCCTGCACGACCTTGGGAACCAGAGCTGGTCCTGGCGCCGCGTGCCCTCGGAGGAGGCCTCCCAGATGGACTTGCTGGACGGGCCCGAGGCAGAGCGCTCTCAGGAGATGCCCAGAGGTACGGGAGAGGCGGCCGTGATGTCCGGGGTGGGCCAGGGCCAGGCTGGAGTGCCTAGCTCTGTTTGACACGATGAGGCGCCTGCACCCCAGTCCTGCGGTTTTCCTTAAAGCCTGCTTGCGATATCTGTGGTTCTCCGGGGTGTCTTGGGCCACGTGTGGAAGGGGGGCTGCACGTCTAATTCCAAGATCCTTTACCGAGTAATAGGACTGGATTTCATGACTCCCTTCCATCCGCATTTGCCAAGGCAGGATGTACAAGAAAGTGCTGATCTGTGTTTGAAATGGGCTTGCCAAACAAAACACAAGATCCCCCGTTACGTTTGAATCTCCGATGAGCAACACATGATTTTTTAATATAAGTATGTCTTATGCAAGGGTTGGAACACACTTATACGAAAAGCTATTTCAATTATCCAAAAAATCCAAATGTCATTGAGTGCCCTGCATTTTTCTTTGCTGAACCTGGCGGTCCTAATTTGGAAGGCATGGTAGAAATGGGTTAAATGTCTGTTTCAGCGCCATTCATAAATATTCAGGCTGCGAGTTTGCGTTGCCGGGCGTTTCCATGCCCTGGGTAGTGTAGGAACACCTTCTTTATGATCAGGGTCTGGAAAGCGAGGCCCTGAGGAAGGAGTGGGCGCTGGGTGAGTTTTTGCTAAGTTTTTAAGAGACAGACATGGAGGCGTGGAGCCCTAGTCCAGCCTTCAGGTCTCTCCAGGCCACACTGCAGGGCTCCCAAGTTCCTGGACCCAGAAAACTCTACCGTCCTGGATCTGACAGCTTGTGTTTCCGGCTTTTAGGAGGAAGTCGCTGAGGCAGTAATGGGGTAGTGTAGTGGACATTCAGGGTAGCACTTTCAGTTAGCAGAGCACCCCCGCCTGCCTGGCACTGTTGGATTCCAATTTTGGAAGGGAGGCAGGGGAGGCAAGAACACCAGGGCTTAGAGGGGGCATGCCCACTTGGCCCAGGTCTAGCCCCTGTCCCAGTGAGTCCTAGACAAGGACATGCTCCATCACATTATGCTTCTGTCTTTGTGGCAAAACCATGGCTGGAGCCTGCTCTGTGGCCATATTCTTGAGGCCGCCTGTCTCAGGCCCCTGCTACCAGGAAGTCTAACCGGTCAGGGCTCAGGTGAGCTGGGACAGGGGCGGGAGTTTGGAGGTGGTGCTAAAATAATGAATGCTCCCAGACATCCACGTCAGCTTGTGGACATCTTCCCTTCCACCCACCCTCCTGGGCTGGGCTTCTCTGTTTTTAAGACTCTTGAGATGGCTTGACCTTGACTTATATTTTAAGTTGCTCTCACCTGGGTACTGGTATGTAGTGTAGGGTATGGGTGTGGGTGTGTGTGGGTATAAGTAAGTGGCTCTTAATCTGATAGCGCATCAGAATCCTCTGGAGAACTTATAAAATATACTGGCTAGACCCCATGACCCGAGATCCTGATTCAGTAGATCTGAGATAGAGCTGAAGAATCTGTATATTTTTACTTGTTATTATGAAATCTAGCACGTGCAAAAAGTAAGTACAACATATATGCTTTGACTAGAGGTGACATAAACCGACACCTGCATTCTTACCACCAAGACTAAGAATTGAACGTTCTCTGTCCTTTCGAAGCCTCCTCTGCCCTCACCTGGATCACAGGCTCTGAGGTAACCCCTCTCCAGCATTTTGTGGGAATCATTCATGTTATTCCTTATCATGGCCTCACCTCCTGGGTGGAGAGTCTCAAGCAACATGCTAACTAGGTTTGCCGGTTTACAACCTTATTTATAAATGGGATCATACTGTTGTGATTTGTCTATTTTGATGCACGTGGCTGTGGTACATTTGCTGTGGGTACGGCACTGGATCCATGGCATAAAAAGACTGGTTTATCTCTCCTACTGTCAACGACCCTCTGGGGTCCGGGTCCAGTCCCTGCTGTGATGAGTCCTAGACACGGGCATGTTCCACCACATCATGTGTCTGTCTCTGTGGCAAAACCATGGCCGGACCCTGCTCTGTGGCCAAATTCTTGAGGCTGCCTGTCTTGCTATCACCACCAACACTTTTGTAGCATTTTTTATCCATGTCTCTTGGTGCCCATGGCTGAGACCATCCATAGAGCATACAACTAGGAGCAGAATTGCGGTTAGAAGGTCAGTGCTGCTTCCGTTTCAATTGGTGATACCAATCTGTTTTCTAAAGTGGTTGCACCAACCTGTACTCCCACCAGTGACTACTGGTATTCCCTCTCACTGACTTTACATCCTCTCCAAGACCTAGTGTCATCCAACTTTACTATTTTTATCCATCTGATGGATCAAACACAGCGCCTCGTTGCAGCTTCAATTTTCATAGAAGTCTTGTTCTGTTTTATCTTTAATAAGTTTCTCAGGTGGTTCTGAGGCAGAGCTGGGCTTGTTGTACTGTGATGTGGCCCCCCTTTTGGCCTTCCCCTCCTTCAGCCACCCCAGGAAATTCTCTCCTCTACAAACATGTGTTTTTGGTCAGCATAGATTTTTTAAAAAGTTCATTCTAGGGAATGAGTTGTGATTACAGTTCCGTGAGCTCAAGAGAAAGCAATGGGTATCAGTTGTATTCTTTGTGAATTCCACCAACTGTGGAGGCAGACATTACAACTTTGAAAGTTGGTGCTTTGTGTTTATTTGTAAGGCAGTGCCAAAAAATCACACACTTCCCTCTCCGACCTGCTTCTCCTCCTCCATCCTCTGCTTGTGGGCTCCAGCATGGGCGTGGAGTGCAATGAGAAGACAAACAAGGAGCAGAGGAGAGAGGAGGGAAAACATAAAGCCTCACTTCTCAGTGCTCCGTCTCAGTGGAGATGTGTCGTTGCCATCATGTTTTTATGAAGCTGAGTTCCAGGGGTCCCCCATGCACCCAATGCAAACCTGTTCCCATTAGATGAGCCAGTCCACATGGGAATATGCATGTTCAAGTAAACGTTGTCAGCTCCCATCTCTCTGAAAAGTCATTGTTCTACCATGAGGTTGTGAGTAGCATCACCGGGGTCAATGGTGCCGACAACCACAGCAGAAGCCACTGTGGACACACCGGCCTTTCGCCAAGCACTTTGGTGAGCAGAGGCACTCACACGTAACTCACCACTGTCAGAAGCTTATGCTTATTATCCTGGGGTCTGCTGGAGGGGCCTAGACTCACACAGCATTGATCAACCATGAAACAAGGGGAGCAACCTCCCAGCCAGCTCAGGGACGCCACTCCTTCAGCAGTGACACCAAGAGGCATCCAGAGCTCCCAGCAGTGGGTCCCTCATCACTCTTCTGGTCAACGCATCACACCTCTACTTGTCTCCTGATATAGTCTCACAAAGTGGGCTGGCGCCATAAGGAACACGTGAGGGAGCCGGGGGGGGGGAAGCAACAAGCCCGCTCTTCACGGGGACCTACATTTCAATCTCACCCCCCATCTTCTTAGCCTCGTGACCGTTTCTCTAACTTCTGGGCAGGGGTGATGCTAGTGGGGAGGTGAGAAGGAGGATGGGCTGCCTTGGGGAAGTGTGGTCACTGTTGTTTTGGTTTTGAACCCAACACTCATTGGTTGGGCGGCGTTTAGACTCTTGCAGTGTTTCTTGTCAGAGGACGTAGAAGGGCCAGAAAGAGGCAATGAGATAAAACCAATCAGAGATAATGAACTGTAAGAGTATAAATTCCGAATAATTCTAATTTATGGCCCTTGTAGCTGAGAATAATAAGGAGAACACAATTCAGAGCAGCAAGATAATAAAACGTGATCCTTCTGATGGAGCACAATATTATGAATTAAGAAAATCTCGAGGCACTGTCAGGTGGAGGTGTTCTGTGACTTTTTAAGAAGTGCCAGGGGCATGTTTGGTGTCTGGGACTTCCGGTGTTTGGGAACGCGGTCAAGGAATGTATTTTTCTTATCCAGCAAGACATGGCTTTGTGCTCTGGTATGGACCCTGACTTAGACATGAAAAGCACATTGCCAGGCCCTCACGAGCCCCACCCCCAGCCTCTCTCAACATGCACACGCAGGCGCTGAGGTCGACTTGGCTGTGGCAGGTGGTGCGCACCCCTGTTTTGACTCAACCCTCCTCACGCTTGGATGCTGAGGCTTTTGTTGTTGTTGTGTTGCTTTTGGTGGAGGGCCTGGGTGGAGCTCTGCCACTGAGATGCTTCTGTCATCAGATGACTTCACTTTGTTTGTTTTACTAGTAGAGACGTAGTCTTGCTATGTTGCCCAGGCTGGTCAAGGAATACTATTGCCTCAGCCTCTCAAAGTGCTGGGATTGCAGTCATGAGCCACTGTGTCTGCCCAAGATGGCTTCCTTTGAAAAACGTTGAGAAACACTGTCAGGCAACCTGGGACAGCAAAGGATGTGTGACCCCAGAATGGAACCATTCAGCCCTTGGGCCTATCCCTATAGCACCCTGTGTATACCCTGAGCACACGTGGGGCGGTGGAGGCTGAGACTGGGGTGACATGTCTGTACACCAAGGAGCACCAAGGACTGCTGGTGACTACCAACAGCTAGGAGAGGTGGGAGAGGGTCTTCCTTCAGAGCCTCCAGAAGGAACCAGCCCTGCTGACACCCGAGTTTCATCCCGTTGGCTTTCAGAGCCAGGAAAGAATCCCTGCTCCAGGACGGTGTTTCTCAACCTTTCTCAAACAAAGCCATCTTGACAGCTAGAAGCATCTCCGTAGCAGTGCCCCATCTAGGCCCCTCTGAGAGCAACATGGAACAAGCAAAGCTGGACACTGTGGGCTGTGAGTCCACAGGCCCTTCAGGGAGTCCCATGAGACAGGTTCAGAAGCATCCAGGTTAATACCAGTTTCTCTCTTCCTTTCTCCAATTCTTTCCCCCACCACAAGGGTTTGTGATATTCCTAGAAGGGCCCCTGCATGCCTTGCAAGTGGACTGTATCCCAGGAGTGACTGGAACCTGGATCACCTTTGAGCTGCAGGTGCAGCCTTGGGGAAAAGTTCTCTCAGGGTACAGCCCCTGCC